GAAACAAACATCTTCTCAAACATCTAATGGGCGATCGTTTGATCAATGCCTTTGATGTCTAGCAGACACATGGTCTTTTCAACTGCACAGGGTACAGTGCACAAAGTGTGAGGTAACCTGAGTACCGTGAGCTCATCAGATGGTGGAGCTGGATGAGGAATGCAGGAACTTGACCAACACACTGGCAGGCTGACCAAGAATAACGGAGTCTGTGCAGGTTTCTCCTGTTCAATCTCTTGATTCCTGAAGAGCACAAAGGCAGTCAAGATCGTGGTAATGACAAGTGTCAAAAATGACTAATTCTTAGCATACTCTGTCTACTCTCTGCAGAATAAAGCTCTTGTGTGGGCCACAATGACTTCTGGCCCTTTTTGATTATTTTGTAGTTCCTGTTTATCTGTAGCTTTGGAGCCTGTCCTAGAACTAGCTCTTGTAGACCAGGCTGGCTTCGAACTCACAGAGATCCACCTGCCTCCGCCTTCTGAGTGCTGGGACTAAAGGCGTGTGCCACCACCACCTGGCTTTGTCTTTGAATAGTTGTCAGAACACAGTCCAAGAATGGAGTCATGTGAGAATTCTGGATGCTTGTAAGAAAACTCCAAGAAAACAAGATGAGTTTTGTGACCTCAGTTTCTTCAAAACACGGAATTGTTCTTGGAATGTGTTTTTGTGCTTCTCCCAGGTGTATCAGATAGAAGTGAATTTACATCAGCTGTTGTAATCCATATGCCTCTTGGAAAAACTTTTTTTTTTTTAGCCACATGTGACTTGTCCTGGTGATTGTAAACTTTACTCAGATGACTCTTCTTAACCTTCAGAGTATAAATTGTCTGATGCTCTGAATAAAGCTGGCTATTGCATGAGACTTAGTTCACCTCATTTTTAGGCTCTACTCTCCCAGGTTCATGCTGCCAACTGAACAGTAAACAAATGGTTACAACGTAAAGAATCCTGAAGTGTGGATATCTCAAGAAAGGGCGAGCTACTGCCAGGCAAGCAGTCCATTCAGTTACACACCCACACTGGCCTTTCAAGTTCTCCTCCTTAGGAATGACTGATCATTTCGTTCATTTTATATCGAGCTGAGGTTCCAAGACCTTCAGTGTCTATCTAAGGTTAACAGAGTAACTCAGGAAGCAATAGATTCAAAGTCCCTTATTTTGAAGTCTTGTGCTTTTCCATTACTTATGAAGCTTGGAGTATAATATTTTGCTGTTGTGTATTAAAAGCAGAAACTCTTTGTATGCCATTACTTTGTGTCGACAGCACATAGACCAGGTTCCATCTCTTGAACACAGTCTATATAGACACTGTTGTCTCCTTTGCCACCTGTACTGGCTATGAAGGAACAATCTTCATATGGCCAACCAAAATGTCAGTTTTTATTTTGATTACTGCCGTTGTAGAAAGCTACATATACCATTTCAACCAGTCAACCAATAGAAATAGTGAGATGGCAAAATTTTGCTGATAATCTCACACCCTTATACATAACTGTATTACAGTCCACACACATTTTAATATACTACCAGTCCTCACCACAGTCATGTTCTTCTTACATTGGCTTCAAGTGTTTTACTTAATGTTTCTAAGCAACCAACTAAAATTGGCAGCAATTTATTAAAAGAAAAGAAAATGATTACTGCTTATCAATTTAGCACGAAGTGTTCCCAAGTATTGGCTGAATGAAACCTAAATGACAGGTTTTCACAAATGTAATTTAGCTTTTTTTTAACTGTATTACAATATCCTCCTATATTGCAGAGTTGCATATATCAGGACAAAGATTTTCCTGTTCTATTTATGTTTTCGATATGAGGTTTAATTAATCACCATAGTTATTGGTTTTCTCTTTTGAATTAGATTTTAATAAACCATCTGTGGGAAAAGGCAGAAAGCCTATCTCTAGAAACAATGCCTTGCTATTTGGGGACATAGGAGCAGCTGTGAGCTGTTATTTTTCTTCCCTTAATAGCTGAATGGCACATCCTGTAATTTGGCTTTCATTCACTGATATGAGCAAGGGATTCAGCTCCTTTCAGACTTGGATTTCATTAACATGTGCTAGCATTCTGCAGGTTTTTTCAGTCAAGTTACCTTTGTAATTTAAATAGAGCCTCTGATTGGCCTCTGATTACCTCACTGGACTGTCCTCCTGGCCTTAGCAGTACTAGTTCTCGTACATAAGACCCCCCTGAGTCTCGTGCTCTGCCAAAATCAAATTCTTTTACTAATTTGACTTCACTGCTCTTCTACCTCAGCGTGGTATTAATAAAAGTGAGTGGGTATAAAATGTCCATGCTTATCGGCTTAGTTTGTGAATAAGTTCATCTTGAATGAGTCTATGTTTAATAGTGGGTGTTTATAGCCAGGTTGGAAAAGTGTGTGGGAAGGGATAAGGAAGGGTAAGCTCAGTGAAGAGTGTGAAAAACTAAAAGTGCCACCAAAAAACGATTGTAGCAATACTGCGATTTATTTCTTTTCTGCTAAAATGCCCCTTCCTGTTATAAAAATTTCTAAAATGTCATTTATGGAAATATTTCATTTTACTTGCAAACAAATCAAACCTTTATCATTTTTTATATTACAAATTACTAGCTCTTTAATATTTATATATTTAGTAAGAGGTATAAAATAATTATGGAAGCAAAGAAATGTAATAATTTATTGTGTGTTGTTAGCATCATTGTCTTCTTACCTCACATCACTCACCACAGTGTAACTCCTAGACAAGCAGCATCAGCACCTCCTGAGAGCATGTTAGAAATCAGATTCTTCTGTCCTGTCCCAGCCTGCTTCATTGCAGACCCTAAGGAGCGCTCAGCCATCAGTGTTTCAAGTTTGCGTAATAAGACTTGAAAGCCATACTCTCTGGAATATGAAAATTGAAAACTGTACTATCTCCTAATATGAAAGTTTATTTTAAAATAGATTGCCTTAGTTAGCTTTTTATAACTAGGATGAAATAACCTGGGAAAAATCAATTTAATTGGAGGAAAGATTTAAGTCATTGTTTCAGTCCATTGTCACTTAACCCATTATACATGGGAGAAGTAGAGTTGCTCACCTCGAGGCAGCTGGAAGGTGACAGAGAGTGTGTCTAAGGATAAGATAAACCCCTTTGTAGTACACACTTCCAATAAGTGACTGGTGGTTTGAATGAGAATGGCCCCCAGAGGATTACAGATTTGAATGCTTGGTCACCAGGGAGGAGGCTGGAGGAAGTCTGTCAATGGAGATGGACTTTGAGGTTTCAAATGCCAGGCCCAGTGGTTATCTTCCTGATGCCTGCAAATCCAAATGTAAAACTCTTAGCCACTTCTCCAGCACCAGGTCTACCTGCACGCCACCATGCTCTCCACCATTATAATGAACTAAACCTCTGAAACTTTTTGCAAGCCCTAAATTAAATGCTTCCCTTTATATGAGTTGCCCTGTTCAGGTGTCTCTTCACAACAATAAAACACTGACTGAAAGAGTAACCTTGCTGTAGTTAGGCCCCACCTCCTAATTGTCCATTCACCTCTTATTATCAGTAGATTAATCCATTGATGACATCAACACCCTGATGATCATTTACTACTTACTGGATTGTTCTTAGTGTTTACATATACTTCAGTGAAGAAAAGCACATTAGAAGAGATTTAGATTGCAATTTTGTTAATCATAAATATATAAACTACTAAAAGAAAAAGTAGATAAAATTAACTAGTGCAATTATGAGAGAATTTTCTGTTTTCTAAAATAAAAATTAAAGGCCAAGTGCCAGATTCTGTGATTACTGCAGCAGAAACAGTACAGCCTTTCAGTCTCCCTGCATCACTACAAAAACCATAGGTTAACTGTGTATTGCAGCTTAAAATCATGAACATAATTTACAATAAAATTAACTGATAAAATGACCAGTTAAACCCCTAAAGATAAGCAGAACAAATAACCCAAAATATAAGTTCTCCCTGGTATTAGCTGCTGGACAGAAGGTATCAGGAGAGCAATGAAAGCTGTTTAGTGGACCTTGGAATAAGAGAGTTTCAAAACAATAGGAATTCACTGATGAGCTTAGAAGGCAGGTTCTAGAACAAAGGCTGAAGCTGGAAGGATTTTGTCAAGAGCGGGTGAATACAGAGAGGTCTCTTGATTAGGTCTAAAGGAAATAATCCTTGAGGATTCTCTGAGATAGCCCAGGGCTTGCAGACTGAGCTTATAACAAAGTTGAGCAGTATAGCAACCGAAGAAAAATCCACCTGAGTACAAGTAGGATGTGGGTAATAGAGATTTCAAAAACAGCAACTGGCCCAAGTGCACGTGGTTCTGAAAACTCAGAAATAACATTTTCAAGTAAAAATTAGCAACAAAAGGGTCATGGTCAAGTTTTGTAATTTTCAATTATAAATTTTTATAACAAGGAGCTAAGGAATGACCATGAAGACAATGAAAACACGTGAGAAATACATGCCCACAATAAGTAAGATCTTAAACATATATAACTACTTGATGGAAATGACAGAACACTTGAGAGAACAAATATAGGTCAGAACAAAACTCAAAAATAAGATCTTACTTGTTATGGACACTGGTAAGAAAATGCTAAGACTTACAAGTTATAGAGGACTTATATAAGTAATTTATATGTTTCTAAAAAGTTAGTAAGTTTCACTGAAATACTCCTTGAAAGACACCTTTGAAAAGGAAGGCAAGAGAAAGAACTATACATTTCATTGATAAATGGCTTTGGAGAGAAATGAAGATAGGTAGTAAACTCTATATAAGGTATAGCCAAATAGCTATTAAAGGCTCTGAATGTATGGAAGACAAGGCCTAATTAATAACTGTTAAAAGTGAAGTGCCTGGGACGTGCCAGTCACTGAGATGGGGTTTTTGTTAATATGACCCCAAAGTGAATGCATTATAAAATGCTCTGTTTTCTGTTCACATTGAATTACCCTAATATTTGCTAATGTGGAAGAGTTTAGATTCATTACATTCTCTTAACTTCACAGTGAGAGACCTACCACCACTTTGTCTTGATGTTAGACAGAAACAGCGGATGTCTGTGGATGCATTACCATCTGAAGTGAAGGTCCCAGCCCTTCCAGAACCTACCCTTCCTAGCCAGCCCAAAAGTGTGAAAGACTTTGAGTAAGTTCCAGCTCACTCTTCTATGTAGACTGATAGTGGTCTGCGTGTTAGTGCTTTATGTAGCTTAACATCTTTGCCTGAACTTGTAGATTGTTAAGATATCAGACAAAAGACACAAAAGACACCTTCACAACATACCTTAAGTTGAAGATATAAATAAATGTGTGAATAACGGATAGTGGATATATTGTAGCAAAAAAAAAAGAAAAGAAAAGAAAGCAAACACCAAGAGATTCTTGAGTCAATTGACCCAAAAGGATGTCAGTAAATAATGAATTCTACCTTTGACACACACACACACATACACACACACACACACACACGAATTCATCTACTGCGTAGCCAGACTGTAAAAGCTGTAACATCACTCTGAATTTGAAACACTGAAGTGAGAATGGGAAAGTCAGAGCTCCAGAAGCTGGACTGTGAAGGAAACGGGAAACATGAGGGTGCACATCAATAGTTCTAGCACTCAGAAGCCTGAGGCAGGAGCACCCCAAACTTGAGTCCAGCATGGACTACAGAACAAGACTCTCTTGGGGGAAAAAAAACTTAAAAAAAAAAAGAACTTTCAAAAAAATAGGTAAATGAAAAACATTAAAGCTGAATTTATATTTTAATACAATTAAGAACTATATATTTATATACTAACTTTTTTCGAGACAGTGTTTTTCTGTGTAGCTTTGGAGCCTGTCCTGGAACTCGCTCAGTAGCCCTGGCTGTCCTGGAACTTGCTTTGTAGACCAGGATGGCTTTGAACTCACAGAGATCTGCCTGCTTCTACCTCCCAAGTGCTGAGATTAAAGGCTTGCACCACCACCACCTGATTTGTATGCTAATTTTATATCAACTATAACAATTTATGTTGCTTTTATTATTTAGAATTATGTAATGACTTTCATTTTTAAAAAAGAAATGCTGTTTTATCTGGATGATGTTTCTCTCCACTTATGGTTAATATATGGTTTTGTTTGTTTTACTTTGTTTTTAGGGAAGATTTAGAAAAAGCTGAATCAACAGGAAATTGGAAATCAGTACATGCTTTTTATATAACAGCATTTGATTCCTTCACAGAATTAAATGCTGCGTTTAAGGTAATGTATAAAAGATACTTTCCATTCACTTAGAATTTCAAATAAAAAAAAATACTCCATTTTATAGTCAGTATTGACTTAAACAGTGTATGTTTTTCAATTATATGTATCAAAATATTATGTGATTTAGTAAATATTTATTTCACTATTAATGCTGGTTTCTTTCAATTTTTAAAAAAGTTATCAAAACCTTTCTTATGAGCTCATTTACTTTCTTGGCTCATCAGACAAGATTTGTTGAGATTATAAAAAAGTATGGTTCAGATAGTATTAAGAACAAACTATGAAATATCAAACATATTTAATTCTTTAATTGAATTTGCAGAAAGATGTCACTGCCTCATTTAATACAATTGAGGACTCTGGGGTTAATGCTAATTTGGTGAATGCTGTATTTGATGCCTTACTTAACACTGTAAGTATTGTTTATGGACATATCCCTGTGGTGTAACTTTATGCTGTTATTTATTGTACAACTCTTTTATTTTTTAAAAAGTATTTATTTTGATTTTTAATTTATGTGTATGTCTGTGTGAATGTATGCTATATGTGTAAGGTGCCTACAGAGGCCGCCAGAGCATACCTGATCCCCGGAGCTGGAATTACAGGTGGTTGTGAACTTCCTGTGTGGGAAGTACTGGGAACTGAACTACCCAGGTCCTCTGGAAGAGGAACAAATGCCCTTGACCACTGAGCCATCCTTCAGCTCCTCTATTTTTGATTTTGTAGCCACTTTGTAATATAATTTGAGTAGACTTTCTGATATAATTTTATGATAAATAGAGTTGAAATTTTCAAAAAATTGAGTTTTTCTTTTTCATTAACTGAAAATGAAACAGAAAATACTTCTTTATCCAATCTGTATTTAGCAGGACTTTCTAAACTCATGTTTCACTTACTCAGGGAAAGGAAGTTGCTTGTGTAATTCTCAAAGTTTAGTTCTGAATCCGTCACAGGAAGTGCTTAACACCATCTCAGATTTCTTGAGTAGAAATTAAGAATTTTCTTAAGTTTGCTAATGTAATTAATTATATACTTTTATTTTCAAAAGTCAAACCAGCCTTTAAAAGTTGGAATAAACTCTACATGGCCAAGGTGTATAATTCTTTTTGTATGTTTTTGTCTCAATTAGCTAATATTTTATTGAGTGTTTTACATCTGTGCTTAAGTGAGATATTGGTCTATACCAGTGATTCTCAACCTTTCTGCAATCCTTTACTACAGTTCCTCATGTTGTAGTAACCCCAGCCATAAAATTATTTTCATTTCTACTTCATAACTATAATTTTGCTACTGTTATGAATCATAATGTAAATATTTTTGGAGATAGAGGTTTACCAAAGGGGCCGTGACCCTCAGGTTAATAATTACTGGTCTGTGCTTTTTTTTATGATTTTGTTTGTTTGGGGCATTAGGGTAAAATATTTTTTCTTTTATTTGACTATTTAATTCTGAAGGTCATTCTTGAAAACCTATGTATACATAACATTCATTATACAGACTAAGCAGGTTATACTTAGGGGTGTGTGTGTGTATGATATACATATACACATGTAACAATTAATGAAAAAGAAACCATGCATTTGAAAGTGAGTGAAGAGGGCTATATAGGAGAGTTTGGAGTAAGGAAAGGGAAGGGGAAATTGTAGTGATATTTCATTTGTATTTTAATAAATAAAGCTTGCCTGAAATCAGAATGCAAAACAGCCACACTGGTCAGTCATACAAACCAGGTAGTGGAGGAACTCACCTTTAATCCCAGCAGCCTCACTTGTTAGCCATAGAGGCTGGGTGGGGTGGTGCATACCTTTAATCCCAGCACTAGAGAGGAATATAAAACAGGATGAGACAGAAACTCACTCTCTTTCAGCCTGGAGGTTTCATAAAGGTAAGAGCTCTCTAGTGGCTTGGCTGCTTTTCTTTTCTATCTTCAGGTTGAACCCCAATTTTTGTCTCTGGGTTTTTATTATTCGTGCTACATTGAATGATATAATTATATTGTAATATTAAAATAAAAGAAAAATGTAATTTTTATAGAACATAACTTGATTGCACTTGCTAAATTACCAAGCATGACTTGTTAGGATTAAATGCATCACAAATAGCCAGGTATAATTGTACATACTTATAATCCCAACACTTAAGAAGCTAAGGAAGATTAAAAATTCAAGGCCATCCTGGATTACATACTGAAACCTTTGGCACAAAAAAAGGTATAACTTGAATCTATGTATACATATCCAGAGTATATACCAACCATTTCAAGTTAATAAACACAATACTGTTGAACTTGTGTTCATGATTTTCTCCTCTGAAGGAAAGGAAAATGGATTTGTTTTTTAGTTATATAAGACTGTTGCTGGTCATCAAAGGATCACGTATATATTTCTGCAGATTGTACTCTGCGAATCCCAGAGAGCAACCTCATAATAATCTACATCATTAGTATTCCCTGGAGTTCTCAGATGTGAAATGGATACTGCTGTTCCTAGTGCCATTCTATAGTCACCAAGTCTGCTTGTAACTATCCAGATAGATCTGCAAATAAAATTAATATTAAAAAAATCACAAAATATCCTATCCATTATTTTATCTAATTATTTTCTTTTGCCTCCAGCCTCAAGATATTCAGAAGTCTGTATTGAAGGGAATCATTAACAGCCTATTACGAGAATGGAAAGGGTAATTGTAACTTGCATCTAATCTGTATAGATAACTGAGATACGTATCTCATGTATTCTTAATATATGAATATATTTTACTCTTATGAATATGATAATATATGAATATGTTTTACTCTTAGGAAGTATCTTAGATGTGCTTTAATATTGACATGGATCAGAAAAGAGCATAGAATACTTGAAACAAAGCTGTTTAGTTTACTGAGATTTGTGATTTCTTGGGATCTGTAAATAAGCATAAGGAAATCAATGAATCTTTCAAAGCTGAATGTAAATATTTTTGTGTATAGGCATATGTGCTATGCAAATATAGGATGAGTACTAATCAATAACCTTGCGCTTCTTATAGCCAATAAAATTTTCTCAGAGAATACTTTACTAGCCTTAAAGAAAACTCCTAATACTTGGGAGAAAACTCAGGTAAGCACCTCAGGCCAAACTGGGTCTTGACTACTTCCTGAGCATAACAAAAGCAGAAGACAGGCCCATAGACTCTTCCTGTTGGCTGTGCCTACTGATTCATGTAGGCATAAGTGGCACTGCTACTTTGTTGAAGTACAAGTGGGATGGAAAAGACTTGAGGCAAACGTAGTAGATGAAAAGCCAAGTCCTGAGCATATCACTCATCAGACTTCAGTACCCTCAGAAGTGCTAACGCCTGACTTCTGCCTTTAGTCTAGGGGTCAGTCAAGATCGTGGATTACATATGATTTTATGTCCATGAATCATTTTTAAATTAGAAGGTTCTTTTTAAGCATATGAGACAATGCACTATAGACCTTGAACATGTGAGAAACACTGGTTAGATTTGAAACTAAAAGTCTCCTACAAAACTGATGTTAAAATCAAGATTAACACTGAAAAAAATACTATTTTTCATGATGCCCAAAGTATATTTTCTATAAATATATATATTATGTATATAATATTATGTATTAATCTGAATACAGTTTCTCCTCCCTCTACTCCTCCCAGTTCCTCTCTACTTCTCTCCCTTCTAGATCCACTCCCTTTCTGACCCTCATTAGAAAATAACAGACTTCTAGGAGATGACAGCCAAACATAACAAAATAAATTATATTATGATAAAACAAAAACCATAATATTGAAGTTGGACCAGCCACACCAATAAAAAAAGAGCCAAAAGAGAAGGCACATGAATCAGAGATCCATTCCTCTACACATTCAGGACTCATCATAAAAGCACTGAACTGAAGGATACAGTTTGTATGCAGAGGACTTGGTGCACAAATATGTGGGCTCTGTGAATGCTCCTTCAGTCTCTGAATTCTTATGAGCTTTGCTCAGTTGTTTTAGAGGACCTGGTTCCCCTGGTGTCCTCCGTACCCTTTGTCTCCTGCACCCCTTTTGCCTTCCCTTCCATGGGGTTCTCTGAATTCTGAGGGGAGGGATTTAATGGAAACATTTTGTTTAGAGCTGTGTTTCAAGGTCTCTCTCACTATGTGTAGTAGCTGGCTGTGGGTCTGTGTATTTATTCCTATCCGCTGAAAGAGGAAGCTTCTCTGATGATGGCTGAATAAGGCACCAACCTATGAGAATATCATTAGGAGTTATTTTATTGTTCTTTTTTTTAAAAAGGGAAAAAAAAGACAAGTAGTATTTGGTTTTACCCTATGTCTCTGAACTATCTGGTATCTGGTTCTTGGTTAAGGCCCATCCAATACCAGGTATGGTGGATTGGGACTTAAGTCAAATCTGACATCAGTTGGTTACTCCCACAAGGTTTGTAACAAAGGCTTTATTTTTGAGTTGGTGTTTAGGTTTCTTTTTTGGTAGCCTGCAGAGTACCGTCCTATGTCACAGACACTAGAACATGCGGGTAAAGTTTGTGTAGACACCAGCTTGACCTTTCTGGGTTCAGTGAATTGTTTAGATGTTGTCTTCAGCAATGGGACCTTGCTGTCAGTTTGTGGAGAACAGCCTATTGTCCTGGAAAGAGTTTGGGTTGTTTGGGAATGTCCATGGAACCCTTTCAGCAAACAATTCAATTAGATGAAACCTAGTCCTGTCACTGGAAGCTTTGTTCAGTGACAAGAGATGGCCAGTAGCAATTCCTTTCATCTCTCTCATTACTTAGAGACTTCATTGGTATCACCTTCATATATTACAGGAAGTTTCTACTGCATACTGCCCCTCAATGCCCTTCAATTCTAGCTGTCTCTCCCCCATTTCCTCTCCTAAACCCATTACCCCACCCCCTTCCCACCCGATCCTCCTGTTCTCATCCCCTGCCCCCACTCCAGTCCACCTGTAAAATCTGTTCTATTTTCCCCTCTCAGGGAGATCCAGTGTCCCCCTAGTCCTTTCCTCTATATTTAACCTCTCTGGGTCTACAGATTATAACTTGGTTATTGTTTATTTAGTGGCTAATATCCAGATATAAGCTAATACAAACCATATTTATCTTTCTAGGTCTGGGTTACCTCACTCAGAGTGGTTTTTTCCATTTGCCTGCATATTTCATGATATCATTTTAAATGGCCAAGTAATATTCCATTCTTATACAACTGTACATTTTCTTTATCCATTCTTCTGTTGAGGAACCAAGCTGTTTCCAGTTTCTAGCTATTATGAATGTGGTTTAACAAATGTCCCTGTGGTAGGATGGGTATCAGTCTAAGAGTTGCATGACTGGATCTTGAGGTAGATCAATTCCCATCTTTCCGAGGAACTGTTTTCCTCAGTCATACTGATTTCCATAGTGGCTGTACAAGATTGCACTCCCACCAGCGATGGAGGCATGTTCTCCTTACTCCACATCCTCGCCAGAATGAGCTGTCACTTGTCTTATTAATATTAGCCATGCTGACAGGTGTAAGATGAAGTCCCAAAGAAGTTTTGATTTGTGTTTCCTTAATGACTAAAGATATTGAATATTTCTTTTAAGTATTTCTCAGCTGTTAGGGTTTCCTCTGTTGATAATTCTGTTTAGATCTGTACACAATTTTTTAAATTGGATTGTTTTTCATATTTTTCTTGAGTGCTTTATATATTTTAGTATTACTATTGGAAGTGGGGCTAGTAAAAATCTTTTCCCATTCTGTAGACTACCACTTTATCTCAATGAAAGTGCCCTTTGCCTTATAGAAGCTTTCCAGTTTCATAAGATAGTATTTATTAATCATTGATCTTAATGCCTGTGACATGAGTGCTTTGTTCTGGAAGTCTTCTCTTGTACCAGTGAGTTAAGGCCATTCCCCACTTTCTATTCTACTAGGTTCAGTGTACCTGATTTTATGTTGAGTTCTTTGATCCATTTAGAATTGCATTTTGTGTAGAGTATTAAGTATGGCTGTATTTCCATCCTTCTACAAGCAGCCATTCAGTTTGACTAGCACTGTTTGTTGAAGATGCTGCCTTTTTTCTAGTAGGTATTTCTGGATTCTTTATCAAATATCAGGTGTCCATAGGTGTATAGGTTTATGTATAGGTCTTCAATTTGATTCCATTGATTAACATGTTTGTTTTTATGCCAATTCCATGTGGTTTTTATTACTATTGCTTTGTAGTATAATTTGAGATCAGGAATGGTGAGACCTCCTGCAGTTCCTTTATTGTTTGGGATTGTTTAAGCTATCTTTAGTTTTTCTGTTGGGGGGGGTTGTGTTTCCATACAACGTAGAGAATTGTCCTTTTGAAGAATTGTATTGGAATATTAATGGGGATTGCTTTGAATCTGTATATTGCTTTTGTTAGGATGGCCATTTCTCACTATATTAATCCTACCAATCCATGAGCATGAGGACATCTTTCCATCTTTTGATATCTTAAATTTCTTTCTTCAAAGATTTGATGTTTTTACCATACAAGACCGTCCCCTGCTTGGTTAGAGTTATCACCAAGATATTTTATATTATTTGAGGCTATTGTGAAAGGTGTTATTTCCCTGATTTCTTTCTCAGACTGTTTGTCTCAGACTTGTGTATAGGAGGGCTACTGATTTTTGTGCATTAATTTTGTATCCAGCTACTTTGCTAGAAGTATTTATTTTTGGTCTGAAGTCTATTTTGTTAGATATTCAAATGGCTACACCAGCTTGTTTCTTAGGTCCATTTGTTTGGAATATCTTTTCTACCCTTTATCTGAAGTAATATCTATCTTTGATGTTGAGGTGTGTTTCTCAGATACAACAAAAGAATGAGTCCTGTTTTTGCATCCATTCTGTTAGTCTGTTGTCTTTTTACTGGGGGATTGTGACCAGTGTTATTTTTTTTCCTTTTTTACTGTTTTTATTGAGCTATGCATTTTTCTCCATTCTCTTCCTTTCCTCTCCCCTCCCCCTCTACCATCTCCCATGGTCTTCATGCTCCCAGTTTACTCCAGAGATCTTGTCTTTTTCTACTTCCCATGTAGATTAGATCCATGTATGTCTTTCTTAGAGTCCTCATTGTTATCTAGGTTCTCTAGGGTTGTGAATTATAGACTGGTTTTCTTTGCTTTTTCTCTAAAAGCCACTTATGAGTGAGTAGATACGATATTTGTCTTTCTGGGTCTGAGTTACCTCACTCAATTTGATGTTTTCTAGATCCATCCATTTGACTGTAAATTTCAAAATGTCGTTATTTTTTCTGTTTTGTAGTACTTCACTGTGTAAATGTATCATATTTTCCTTATCCATTCTTCAGTCGAGGGGCATTTAGGTTGTTTCCAGGTTCTGGCTATGACAAACAATGCTGCTATGAACGTAGTTGAGCACATGTCCTTGTGGTATGATTGAGCATCCTTTGGATATATACCCAAAAGTGGTATTGCTAGATATTGAGGTAGGTTCTTTCCTAATTTTCTGAGAAATTGCCATACTGATATCCAAACAGGCTGTACCAGCTTGCATTCCCACCAGCAATGCAGGAGTGTTCCCTTTACCCCACAACCTCTCTGGCATAAGTTGTCGTCAGTGTTTTTTATCTTGGCCATTCTTACAGGTATAAGATGGAATCTCAGAGTTGTTCTGATTTATTTCTCTGATGACTAAGGATGTTGAAAATTTCCTTAAGTGTCTTTCAGCCATTTTATATTCCTCTGTCGAGAGTTCTCTGTTGAGGTCTGTACCCCATTTTTTATTGGATTATTTGTTCTTTTGATGATCAATTTCTTGAGTTCTTTGTATATTTTGGAGATCAGCCCTCTGTCTGATGTGGGGTTAGTGAAGATCTTTTCCCATTCTGTAGGCTGTCGTTTTGTCTTGTTGACCACGTTCTTTGCTTTGCAGAAGCTTTTCAGTTTCAGGAGGTCCCATTTATTAATTGTCTCTCTTAGTGTCTGTGCTACTGGGGTTATATTTAGGAAGTGGTCTCCTGTGCCAATGTGTTCAAGTGTACTTCCCACTTTCTCTTCTATAGGGTTCAGTGTGGCTGGCTTTATGTTGAGGTCTTTGATCCATTTGGACTTGAGTTTTGTGCATGGTGATAGATATGGATCTATTTTCATTCTTCTTCTACATGTTGATATCCAGTTATGTCAGCACCATTTATTAAATATACTTTCTTTTTTCCATTTGATATTTTCTTATTCTTTGTCAAAAATCAGCCGTTCGAAGGGTATGGATTAATATCCGGGTCTTCTATTCAGTTCCATTGTTCCTCCTGTCTGTTCTTATGCCAATACCAGGCTGTTTTCAGTACTGTATCTCTGTAGTAGAGTTTGGAGTCAGGGATTGTGATGACTCCAGAAGTTCTTTTATTGTATAGGATTGTTTTGACTATCCTGGGTTTTTTGCTTTTCCATATGAACTTGAATACTGTTCTTTTGAGGTCTGTGAAGAATTTTGCTGGGATTTTGATGGGCATTGCATTGAATCTGTAGATTGCTTTTGGTAAGATTGCCATTTTTACTATGTTAATTCTACCTACCCAAGAGCATAGGAGATCTTTCCACCTTCTGGTGTCTTCTTCAATTTCTTTCTTCAACGATTTAAAGTTCTTGTCATACAAGTCTTCCACTTGTTTGGTTAGAGTTACTCCGAGATATTTTATGCTATTTGTGGCTATTGTAAAGGGTGTTGTTTCTCTGATTTCTTTCCCAGACATTTTATCATCTGTGTACAGGAGGGCTACTGAATTTTTTGAGTTAATCTTGTATCCTGCTACATTACTGAAAGTGTTTATGAATCATAGAAGTTCCTTGGTAGAATTTTTGGGATCACTTATGTAAACTATCATATCATCAACAAACAGTGAGAGTTTTACTTTCTATTTGTACCCCCTTGATTTCCTTTTGGTGTCTTATTGCTCTAGCTAGGACCTCAAGAACTATATTAAATAGATAATGGAGAGAGTGAACAACCTTGTCTTGTTCCTGATTTCAGTGGAATCACTGGGAGTTTTTCTCCGTGTAGTTTGATGTTGGCTGTTGGCTTGCTGTATATTGCCTTTATTATGTTTAGGTATGTTCCTTGTATCCCTGCTCTCTCCAAGACCTTTATCATGTAGGGATGTTGTATTTTGTCATAAGCTTTTTCGGCATCTAATGAGATGATCATGTGGTTTTTATTTTTCAGTTTGTTTATCTTGTGGATTACGTTGACAGATTTTCGTATGTTGAACCATCCCTGTGTCTCTGGGGTGAAGCTGACTTGATCATGGTGGATGATGTTTCTGATGTGTTCTTGGATTCAATTTGCCAGTATTTTATTGGGTATTTTTGCATCAATGTTCATGAGTGAGATTGGTCTGTAATTCTCTTTCATAGTAATGTCTTTATGTGATTTGGGTGTCAGGGTAATTGTAGCCTCATAAAAAGAGTTTGGCAATGTTCTGTTTACCTATTGTGTGGAAAAATTTGAGTAGTATTGGTATTATTTCTTCTTTGAAAAATCTTATAGAATTCTGAGCTGATATTATCTGGTCCTGGGCTTTTGTTGGTTGGGAGACTTTTGATGACTGTTTCTATTTCTTCAGCAGTTATAGGTCTGTTTAATTTGCTTATCTGGTCTTGGTTTAATTTTGGTAAGTGATATTTATCCAGAAAGTTGTCCATTTTCTTTAAGTTTTGCAATTTTGTGAAGTACGGGTTTTCGAAATATGACCTGATGATTCTCTGTATTACCTCTGTGTCTGTTGTTATGTCCCCCTTTTCATTTCTGATTTTGATAATTTGGATATTCTCTCTCTGCCTATTTTGTTGATTTTCTCGAAGAACCAACTCTTTGTCTCATTGATTCTCTGTATTGTTTTCTTTGTTTCTATTTTGTTGATTTCAGCTCTCAACTTGATTATTTCCTGCCGTCTAGTTCTCTTAGGTGAGCTTGCTTTTTTTTTTTTAAAATCAAACCCAATATTTTTTTTAACCAAACCCAACATTTTTTTTTAACCAAACCCAATTTATTTTTTGTTTTAAAGTTTTCAAATATTCTGTCGATTCACTAGTATGGGATTTTTCCAGCTTCTTTATATAGGCATTTAGTGCTATGAACTTTCCTCTTAACACTGCTTTCATTGTGTCCCATAAATTTGGGTATGTTGTGTGATCATTTTCATTGGATTTTAGGAAGTCTTTAATTTCTCCCTTTATTTCTTCCTTGACCCGTTGATGATTCAGGTGAGCATTGTTTAATTTGTGTTTGTGGGTTTTCTGGAATCAGTATTACTGTTGACTTCTAGTTTTAAAGCGTCGTGACCTGATAAGGTACATTGAGTTATTCCAATATTTTTGTATTTGTTGAGGTTTGTTTTGTTACTGAGTATGTGGTCAGTTTTTGAGAAGGTCCCATGAGGTGCTGAGAAGGTGTATTCTTCTCTGTTTGGATGGAATAACTGTGGATGTCTGCTGAGTCCATCTGAGTCATAGCTTCTGTTAGTTCCCTTATTTCTCTGTTCATTTTTTGTCTGACTGACCTGTTCAGTGGTGAGAGTTGGGTGTTGAAGTCTCCCTCCCACTATTAGTGTGTGGGGTTTAATGTATGATTTAAGCTTTAGAAGTGCTTCTTTTATATATGAGGATGCCCTTGTATTTGGGGCATAGATGTTCAGTATTGAAATTTCCTCTTAATGGATTTTTCCTGTGACTAATATGAAATGACCTTCTTTGTCTCTTTTGATTGATTTGAGCTTGAAGTCTATTTTGTTAGATATTAGGATAACTACACCTGCTTGTTTCTTAGGTCCATTTTATTGGTACAGTTTTTTCCAACCCTTTACTCTGAGACATGTCTGTCTTTGAGATTGAGATGTGTGACCTGGCTCAGACTTACTTACTCAGAGGTCCCAGACTCGCGCCCAGACTCACAGGGATCCTGGCTTTGGTCTGTTCCCTTGAAGGTTCCAGATTCACATCTGAACCCTCAGTGGTCTCTGGCTCTGGCTCACTCACTCAGCAGTTACTCCCCTGTATTTGTTCCAGTGGAGATTGCTGACTCTGGACCAGGTCGCTGGCTCAGTCCTGGTCCACCAGTTTATTCCTATTATTCTTATGCTTTGTGTTTTCATAGTGTTCCAGCTTCCCCGGGATGTTTTTGTCAGGAGGTTTTTGTTTTTGTTTTTGATTAACTCTTTAGCTGATGTTTTCATTTTCCCTGTTGTATCTTCAACACCTGGAATTCTTTCTTCTATCTCTTATATTCAGTTGGCAAAGCTTGGTTCTGTAGTTCATATTTAATTCTTAAAATTTGTACTTCCAGAATTCCCTCAGTTTGGGTATTCTTTATTGATTCCACTTCCATTTTCAGATTATTTAATAATTTTATTCATTTCCTGCCACTGTTTGTTTTTTCATAGATTTCTTTAAGAGATTTATTCATTTCCTCACCCTGTTTGTATTTTCCTGGATTTCTTTTAGGGATTTAGTAATTTCCTCTTTAAAGAATTCTGTCATCTTCATGCTGACAGTTTTAGGATCATTTTCTTATGTTTAGCTATGTTTGGAAATTCAGGATCTGCTTATTGCAGTTTCTGACACTTCTGTCACTTCAGGAATGGCCTGTAAGCAGAAGCACATTTTCTTCCTTTAATGTATAGATAAATATTAAGTAAAAATAATCTGTGTTAAACACAATATATTTTAAATTACTGACTATTTGTTAGACTTTTAACCATTTCCATAGTTAGTCTTTTACCTTAACATGCTATAGCTTTCTGAGGAATTTGAGTTTTAGGGGTACTCAGGACTAGCCTATTTCCCAGAATACTAGAGATGTGTTATTGTCTCAGTAAGAATAATGCCTGTGAATTTAAATTCATTTTGGCTTCTTAGTTCTTGGAAAACCATGTAATGGTCATGTCTTTGTTAGATACTATGAAATTAAATGGTCATTTGTAATCAGTCATGCATGTTCCTTTTTCAGCCCTCGAACAAAAGATGATCTTAGAGCATATTTTATATTGTTACAGGTAAGTGAGAATTGTTGAATTCATGTCAGTCTGCATGTACAAATTAAATGTGATAGCAGATAACTATTACTTGTCAATCATATTAATACTCTTTAGAATAATAGTTACTTGCAACCCAAAGACTAACATTGTAACAAACACAGAGAAGCTAAATTATGTGAGGACTTAAATTATTAGTGAGGTTTTGCCTACTTTCCATGGTGTCTAGGAACAGACAGAATGGATGTTCTTCCCTCTTATTCAGACTCTTTCCTTTGTACTAACTGGAATAGGCTACAGAACTTCCCCATGTTCTCGGTTTCTAAGTTGTCTGTATTGTTCCCTAGTGTTCATTAGAATTCTGATAGAAACATCAAAGTTGTTACTATTTGTTCTAAGGCAAAACGATACTTGCTTCCTCATGAGAGAGATGCAGATTCAAAAATATAAAAAGCAAATTTTTATTTTTAATTGTTTGTGGAAAACTCTATTATTTAACATATTTGCATCATTCTTCATAATTTACCAAGTTGTCCAGCTATATTAACTCATTTAAAAGTAGAAAATATTAAGCATTTAATTCAGTATTATGATATTACCAGTATCATATTCAATAAAAGAAACATGGGAAGCAAAAAAAAAAAATGGGAAGGGAGAATAACCAAGAAAGATAAAGGAAATAAATGAGAAAAGCATCAAAACTAGAAGAAAAAGCAGAGAGAAAAGCTACAAAACAACACTGTGAAGCTCAGTTGTCTTGGAGGAGTGTGTTAGTCAGCCGTCAGCTCTGCTCACACATCAATCACCCTTTCCCAGAGCTGTGGCTGGAGTAAGATCAGCACCAAGTTCACTCCTGTTCATCAGTTTTGAAAAAGAGTGTTCTTTTATCATTATCACAATTGGATCAATTTTTAAGGATTTATTTTTACATTTTATTTGGCATGTGTACATGCTACATGTGTTGAGGGCCCATGAAGGCTAGTCACATGCCCTGGAACTAGCATTGTACACAGTTGTGGGTTCTGAAACCAAACTCAGATCCTCTGGAAGGGCAACAGGCACTCTAAATCACCAGGCCATCTCCCCAGCCAGCACCTGATTTTAATAATAGTTACTTTAACAGACGTTTCTGAGATGTACACTGTAATAAAGCATCAGCTTTTTGAAAGATAAATGTGGGCCTGGCTTTGCTGTGAGAACTCTTGCAGTCCTTTGACACGGAAAAGTTGTCAGAGGACACGCTAGTTCTTTGTGATGTGGGCAGCGGATCATTTCCCAGTGCAGAAGCTTCATAGCTAGCTTTACATGGTGTTCCTTTTTAAAGCCAGAAAACCCATATTATTTTGTTGTTATTTAATTGGATAATAGTGATTCCCAGTATTTATGAAAGATAAACTTAAGTGCTTATGTTTTCTTTTTTAAAGCTCAAAACAACTCTTGAGGTAGACAATGTTTCCATCTTTCAGCTGAGGAAATTGAAAATTAAAGTTTTAAAACCATGCCTAATGACACACAGCTGATGTGGTAGGATCAACCCTCAGACCCAGATTTGCTGTAATTCCAAAGCCTGTGCCTTGTACTGCAGCAGAACCAGTCTTGCTTAAATAAATAACAAATCACTAATTTTTAAAGAACTGCAGAAACTCAAATGTAGCTTCCTGAATTTGACACTTAAAACTCTTTAAGTTTTATGGGTTTCCTTGTTAACACAATTGTAACACAGTTATCTTTAATATCTTTTTCAGAATCCTCAATTTAATATCACATCTACATACGTCATCTATGCTCATTTGCTACGACAGATAGCTACCCTAGTGGAAGCTGACCACCATTTCCTAGTTCACTGGCTTAAAAAGTAAACCTTCTGCAATGCTAAGACATTTCAGTCTCTCAGTTTTCAATGTGATATTACTAATTTTGTGATAAGCTACTGTAAACCTTTACCATATTTGAATGTTTTGAAGATTTTTAGGAATGATGTTCATACTTTGAAATGTTTCAAAAGCCAGTTATGAAATATATGATTTAGTAATACATAAAAGATAGATAAAAATCTATTTTTAATCTAAGTAATAATGTTTTTGTGAAAATTCTTGTAAATATCTATCATTTGCAACTTTTCTGTGGCACATTTCTTTTTTTTGTACAGTTCAACTGGATTTGTTCACTCATTGTTTTATTGTGTATCTTTTTATTTCTTCTCTGTTTATTATCACATCTTATTATTTGTGTGATGCTTTCTCTTTGCCTTATGAAAAATACAAGATTGCAGAAGCACATTACTTCTTCCCCTCAGAAGTGTGTTTACATTAACAGACTTTTCTCTGTGGTAGATAAAAACTAAAAGGGCGAAATATTTCCACCATGCGAGCTCAGTGCAGTCAGTTGTCATTCTTCACACTAGCTGTGTTCGCAAAGTCACCGTCAGCGAGGAACCTGCAGACGCCACCGAGCCTTTGCTCAGGGGCCTCTGTACAGTTCTGTCTGCTCACCAAGCATCCACTTTATGAGTGCTAATACTTGACTTCATTCCATGTAAGTTCATTGGTTAAATTGAGGTCATGACGGTTGCACTATAAACCATGCCAGTATGGCTGTAACACACACACATTTTCTTTATACAACATATGACATCCTTCTTGTTCATTGGAGCTAGTCAGCACTTAATTATTACACTGTAGGATTTGAGTTTTTGCTTTTGGTTTTTGAGACAGGCTCTCACTCTGTACCTCAGGCTGATCTAGATCTTACCATGTATCCCAATGGACTGCTAATTCACAATCCCTCTGTCTCAGCCTCCCAATTATAGGGATTACAGGTATATACTGCTATGCGAAAAAAAAATCACAAAAAAATGAAAAATATGTTACTAGACTGTAGAAAGGACACTGGGTTCCAGCATGAGAACCGATGCGCGTGTTATAGCTCTGCCTTGCTGGCCCTCATTCGTGCATGCCAGACGACTCCACGTCCTCACTGTTGATTTATGTCCACAAACAACCATGCAAGCTCAAATGCTGACCTGTGGTGTACGGGATAAATGTTAGCATACAGGTTAGTCTTCAAGTGCAGGATCTGTGAATCATGAAACTGACTAAACACTGAAAGCTTAAAGTTACATTAATGACACTGCAGTAATCTGAGTGTTTATTTCTTACTTGAGAAGCAGTACCCATGGTAGGGTTTTATATCTTTTGAAATGTTGTCAACTTAATAAATATAATTTGAGAGAATGAATAGTCTATATTCTGTGTGCATAGGATATAGTTTGATCTCTAGAAAAAATATTTTGACAAAATAAGAAATGAAAATTTTGATTGAAATTATTTCAAAATCTTTGCCAGATTATCCCAGAAGAAATTCAAACAGCTGGTAGAGAGGTTGCTACAGTTTGTTTCTCTGCGTCTGTTTCCTGCGAAGCCAGAAGAGTTCCCACCTCTGACAAAGTGTTCCTGGTGGATCCCATCAGCCTCCAAAGTGCTGGCTTTGCTCAGTAGGTGTCAGCTGGTCTCTGGCCCTCACTAGTCTCGGGAGAAATAGCAGGGTATACCTTAAGTATCTCTGAGTGCTAGGGAGGCAGCTTTAACTTGTAAACCATTATTTTGAAGAAAAAATTACTTCCTGTTTTGTTTATGAATTTTACATTATATAATTTTTAATTTAAATTTTTTAAATTAAAAAAATTTATAAAGCTAGGGAAAGTTTTGTTTCTCCAGTATTTTATATTATGGTCTTAAGTACATATGATCCACTAAGTACTAATTCCTGAGGAAACATGAACTCCCACTAATTACGGAGGACTCCTACAAGAGACAACACTGGTGGAGAAATGGTGATTAGGTGACCATCTGCACTCTAAACATTTTTGTGATCCTCATCATCCTTTTTTTTTTAAGTAAGAAATAGCTGCATTTTGACCATAGTGTTAAAAATGGCCGTTTTTGTTGGAACTGCAAAGCAGGAGTTTAAGTTAAAGCTGCAAAGCAGGAGTTTAAGTTACAGCTAGCCAGTAGATGCTAAACAATGTGTTTATTGTTAGACTGGATCACTACATGTTGGAAAGGAGCGCTACATGAGAATTTATCTTCACAGATACTGCCAACAATTTGGTTCATCCTCCCCTTATTCCTTACACTGATTTCTATAATTCTACCTTGGATCACATTGATCTCATGGAAGAGTATCATACTTGGCAGAGCTTTGGAAATTCTCACAGGTATAGTCAACAAAATTTCTCTAACAGAGTGTTATTTTTTTTAAAAAAAACTGGATTTTAAGTTTTTATTATACATAATATAATTCCTGTACATATAAACATATACATAGCTTTAAAATATCATTGTGTCTGTCAAAACGGGTTTATTTTTGGTACATTTTGAGTTTATACACTTGTTAATATAGTTTTGTTTTAGTTAATAACGTCTTTTTAAGAACAGGAGAGGTCTTCCCCTAGGTACGCGGTCTCTTGGAGCTTAGTATTCTATGCTCAAGGGCAGCTTACATAATTTTTTCTCTAAAGTATCAGAAGATAAATATTTTCAGTTCTGCGAACAATACATGTTTCTATTTTAGCATGAAACAGTCCTAAACAATACCTAAGTGAATGGCTATGACTGTTCCGGATGACTTTACACAAACTGCTGATGAGCCATCTTGTCTTGGAGGCCATAGTATACCAGTGCTTAATCTAACTCATTATCACACACATATGGCCACTGATACACATCCGCTTCTTCTCCCTCAGTCTTCACCCAAATAGTGACTTTGAATTACTTATAGAAATAATAGAAAGGAAGAGAAAGGAGCTTCACAGTTTAATGCAATAGGTTTTCAGAATGTGTAGCAAAATTCTTGAGTTCTCTATACTTTTTATCCACATTTGGATTAAATTATCAATCCTATCTCAAATGTAATTTATTTCCCAAACATAAAATATCCAGGAGACTTTTCTTAAGAAGATGAAGAGATGTAATTATAGATATAAATAACTCAGAGAGCTCAGATATACACATGGATTGATTCAGCTTTCCAGGAATTCTACCAGAATTGACCGAAAATTTATAATGGCCCTCTGATCAAATCTCAGTGCAATATGAACTATCAAAACTGGAAATGATTTTTTTCTAAAGACTATAATCAATCTGAGGAATATTTTCTTGGTAGAGTTTCTCTTACCAAGACACTTTTCTTTGTATTTTAACATAATTGTGACCATAAAACAGCTAAGAGTTGCACTGTTTCCTTGACAACTTTTAATACAGAGCTCCTTCCAGTCGCAGGGCAGCATACCAGCAGTGTGCCCCACACCAGCAGTGTGCCCCACACCAGCAGTGTGCCCCACAGGTGTTCCAGGTGATCCTGGCTGCCATTGGCAGTCAGCTGGGATCTAGAATGGGATCTGGATCTCAGAGCAAGTCACTACTGACCGTGGGCTGTTTATCTGGGTACTTCATGCACATACACATAGTATTTTCTTTTCATGTACCAAAATGACGAAGGTTGAGAAGCACTGTTTTAAAGTATATAATGAAACCAACATATATCCTTTTTAAGTTCATTGTATTTTCTTTTATTTCCAAACTTTCGGTTAGCATTAATCATTCAGTTACTACTATTATTAGTAGTAGTTAAACTAGTTACTGAACAAGTTTGGTTTATTATCAATTTGTAGTCAGAGACAAAGCTGTCCGATCTTCAGTACATCGGGCTGTCCCTTCTTTCTCATGTCTTCTTTGCAACCAGTGGCTGCAGATAGACCACCTACTGTGTTCAAGTGGAGAACAGCTAATATCGAGGGTTTCATTGCACTTCTGCCGCTGAGCTCTACCCCAGCACACACAGCAGCCCCTTCTGATGGGAGTCTACCTCCCAAACTATCGCTGCTGCCATATTCATTCTTTCCACGTGCATTTATGTCTGTGTGCATTGTGGCTTGCATAGTATAAGACTTAACTCTGACCTGGGAGCCAAGTTATTTCCATATTCTTTGATAACAATTTATATCTTTATAAGTCCATGCATTTCATATTTTTATACCATTAAATATAGTACTTACCAACATTTTTCTAACTTTTTATTCTATTGCTCTTAAATTTATGACTCCTTTTTGTATGCTATTATTGCTGTATTTTCTCACTTCTGATTTTAACACATCAGAAATAGTTCTTGGATATTAAATTTTATATTCATTTGAACATGTAAATATTCTGTCCTATTTCTCCACCATCAACACTTTTGCCTCCTTACCCTGCTGTTGGCCATGTTTTTCACAGATGATAGTATAGGTGGCTCTGAAAATGGAAACGATTTGTGTGAATGGTGTCAGTGACTAGCACACATTTAGAAAGTTAGCTGCGGCTTCCTACAGGGAATTGAGGCACTGCACTTTCAGGAATGATGCATTTTTCATGGGTTTATGGATATAAAATCATGCACATAAATTTTTTTGTAAATGGTAAAGCACCACACAAAAGTAATGTTTTATATTGCAAGGTACGTTAGGTTCCCTTAGTGTAATTTTGCTAAAAATGCACCATTTTGCTTTTTCTGTTTTCGCTTGTTGAGCAGGTTTTCCTTCTGTCAGTACCCATTCGTTATTTCTATAACTGCAAAAAAAGTCATTATTCAGAGAGACTCAGAACAACAGATGATAAGCATCGCAAGGGTAAGCCGGTTATGAAACCTATTTGTGCTGACTGTAATCAATACCGTAAATAGTAAATAAGTTAAATGTCTTGTGATTGTTTTAGTGTAATCGGGATTTGTTAAAAATATAATCTATGTTATTACCCCACATGGTAACCCTGTTCACAATATGGGAGATGGAACACTCTCATCTAACCAGCTTCCGATTACATTATAAATACAGCAGAAATGTTTCTGATAGACCCAGATTTGAGGAGCTTGTTGGAATTCATTTTGTATAGAGCTCCTATTCCAGGTAGCTAGAGAAATATCACTGGAAACCATGGTGAGACCAGGAGGGCCTTAACACAAATCACTCACACTATAACATTCTCTGGAGTTCATGAAAACCAGAAACAACCAAGACATTAGATGCTACAATCCTAAGTATATGTCTAAAGGACTAAGAAATATGCACAAAGAAAGGGAAAGTTTTTTTAATTGCTTCTCAATACATGGGAAACACACAGAAAGTAGGACAGACTTTTGGAAAATTGTAGAACAAAATGAAGTTTACCCCTGGGCCTCAGTACTGCCTACCACTGTGTTCAGTGTAGCGCAGGAAGTGCCCAGACTGTCCATCCTCACACCTGTGCATCTCAAGCTCCTGCCGTGTAACAAGACTGTATGCACTTTTCAAAACGAAAGAGAAGCTTGGCTGTAGTCTTCTTAAAGTATAAAGAAAAACACAGAATAGGAAGAAATGATTTCCATGTTTTGTTCAAAAGTATAAAAACAAAGTATAAATTTTGATATTTCAAAATATAAAAATAAGAATAATTTATTCAGCAACTTAGTTCCCTGAATTTTTTTTTCTGTCACAGACAAGGACAAAGGTTTTGGTGCCTGATAAGCTTCAAAAATCAGCTTGCATTGAGTACAAGAATATTAGAAGAAATTGTATTGCCTATGGCTCCAAAGATAATTCCAAAGCCACACTGCCCCTGAAGAATGAGTTTAATTTGGTGTATTCAGCACCAGATACCGGCTCAAGGGTTAATATGTATAGCTAATCATCTAGATATTTTGGCTTAGTTGCATTTCTGTGTCATGTTTTTTTTTTCTTAAGTTTTTTTCAACTTTGGCTATATGGTTTACTATAGTTTAAGTAAAATAGAGATGGCTGGTTCATCCAAATTCTCTTAACAATCCCCTGCCACTCATGTTTAACGAATCAGGATCTTTCTGTGCTGCATTTCTTCTACTGGAAAGGAGAGCAGCAGATATGTTTTCACAGAACATGGGAGGGAGTAGAGACTAAAGACTCAAGAGAGCTGTGTTAGTTCTCACAGCTTCTTCCTGTTGTGCCACTCAAATAAATGACTGGGGACTCTCCTGACACAGCTGATACTATAGTCTGAAACTGCAAAAATAAGTTCTGTAAGACTGTCAAAAGTTCTACCTTCCTCAGTCTCTCATTTGGAGCATTGTCATGGCAGATAGGCATTTCCAGTGGAAAGAACTGCTGAGCTTGTCCCCGTGAGCATCAGGGTCAGTGTAGTCAGTGCCAACATGTGCCAGCTGTTTAGGGGCAAGAACAGAAAGAGAAGACAACAAAAGAAGGGTAAGACAAAAGACCTTTTACATAGACACATGAACATAGTCCAGGAACATAGACTCCCTTGGTAAGACAGGGCCCAGAAAAGCAAAAAGCTACTAAGTCTTAACATTGGATATTGGAGGTCTGGAGGAAGTCTCAAACTCTATAGATTTGGGGAATGCAAAATTACTATACTTTAGATGTCTGAAACATTCATCCTTATCTGTACAGAATTCATCTTCATCGTCACCAAAGACAATTAAATAGTCCAGTCATCATTGTCTAGATAAGTAAATATACAAGCATGTTGATTTTGTATAATAAATGATATTTATATATTTCTTATATATTTTAATATGTTGGTTTTTATATACTCAGTGCTTATATTTTGAAAAAACATGAAAAATGAATTTTTCAAATCTGTCATATCTGTATCATTATTTCTGTTGTTAACATTTTGGTAAATTTTCTTTTGGTAGTCTTTAAAAACAACAAAGATAAAGCAGTGTTATATGCATAATTTTGATCCCTGTTCAAACTGCTTACATAGTTTTCCTACTCATTTTTAGTGGCTGCATTATATTCCACTAACTAGATCTGCTTAGGGTAGTTCTAAAGCTTTGCTTTTATGGATAATATTTTTATGAGTATCTTCTGGAATAAAATGTTTTTCTGATCTTCAAAATTCCCAAAAGTAGAACTATTATTGTAAAAAGTCTGATCATTGCTGAGTCCCTGACACCATAGGTACGTTAATTTTTTACTTTCTAAGAGATTATTTTTTAGAGTAAATTCACTATCTAAAATAGATTAAGCCTGAGTTTATTGTTAAAAATACCTGAATTGGTTAAACGCTCCCCCAACTTTTGGGGGGGGGGGGTTCGAGATAGGGTTTCTCTGTGTAGACCTGGCTGTCCTGAAACTCACTTTGTAGGCCAGGCTGGCCTCAAACTCACAGAGATCTGCCTGATCTGCCTCCCGAGTGCTGGGATTAAAGGCATGCGCTGCCACCATCCAGCTAAATGTCCCCCTTTTATTACACAACAGACTTTGCCTTTGAAGGTCTGAGGCCTGTTGAAATGGCAGTGCAGCCTTCTCACTATAAAAGTTGAGCAAGATTTTGATACCTACTGGCTATCATTGTTCCAAAATAAAGTAATAATGTTTTACAAGTTAAAATATATGTAGTTGATTTATGAAATTATTTACATAAGAGATAACATAAACAAGAATTAAGCTATTTTGACTAATGTGTTTTAAATAAAATTATAATTTAAGTAAAGTGAAAATGTTTGCTTTCTTATTTAATTAGCAAAGTCTGGTGGATAAAGTATCTCGAAGACAAAGACCTGACATGAATATGTTATTCCTAAATATGAAAGTAAGGCGGACACATCTGGTTAGCGACTCACTTGATGAGGTATAATTCATCCCAAAATGGTGTTGATTAAAAAAATTCAATTATGTAACTTATTACTAAAATTTTATTGTTATTATTTCTATGTGCCAATGCATATGCTTCCAAAAATTCTGATAGTTGAGATAAATTTTCTATAAATAAGCTTTATTTCATCTTAATGTTTATTAATGGTTGGCTAATTACTTAGAGGAGTTGATGTAGAATACTTAAATGTATAATTTATGTTTCTTAGTATGCTACCTGGATTCTAAACCCACTCATCTCTCTTTCTGATTATGTGTGTAACAAGTCATTTTAAATTCTCCAGACCTCAGATTGCTCATCTATAAACTTACAGGTCTGACCTATAGGGATGGATATTTAGATTCACGCAAACACTGACCCATGTATGTATATTGCAGAGTCCGACCATCATGTAGTTAAGAGGAGAAAATGGCTATTATATATGTCATTTTCTTAATTTAGTGTTGAAAGAGAAAGGGGACATGAAAAATTATTTTGTATTATCATCTACTAAATTAAAAATTTGGATGCACTGTGATTCTTGGGGATTGTAACCTTTATTAAGGCATCTGACTGCTATTTTTTTTCTAATCTATAAAATAAATATAATAATACCTAGCTTGTTGTGTCCAGCAACATGGATGGATGGGTGGATGGATAGATAGACGGATGTTTATGGAAGTAAAAATAAGCTAAAGTCTACCTAATATTGTTCCCAAAATTAAAAACAAATGAATACCCTTTTCATTGCTCTTTGTTCTCCATTACTACATAACTTCTTCAAATAGTTAACCCGGAAAAGAGCAGACTTGAAGAAGAAGTTGAAAGTTACATTTGTAGGTGAAGCTGGATTGGATATGGGTGGCTTGACTAAAGAATGGTTCCTTCTTCTAATTCGCCAGATTTTCCATCCAGATTATGGTGAGTGTGTAATATTTGTGACTAGTGTCTCTCAATGTTGACAGAAGTTTCTGTCCCACCCAATCCCGTAGCCGTTCAATCCCAAGGAAGCACACAGCAGCCAACATTAATTATAAACTGATTGGCCTATTAGCTCAGGATTCTTATTAATTAACTCTTATATTAACCATAATTTTTGTTTGTGTTAGCCACATGGCTTTTATCCTTTTATCAGTGAGGCATTCTCATCTTGCTTCCTCTGGGTCTGGGTGACGACTGCAGACTGAGCCTTTCCTCTTCCCAGAACTCTCCTATTCTGGTTGCCCCACCTATATTTCCTGCCTGGTTACTGGCCAATCAGTGTTTTATTAAACCAATACGAGTGACAAGTCTTTACAGGGTCCCACAGTATCTCCAGGCTTGTTAGAGTTCAGTAGCAACCCTGACATTTTCATCAACTGTAAATGAAGAATTTGTATGGAGATAACCATACATCTCTTGAATAAACCAAATGCATGAAAGTATGGCATTGAAATAAAAGACATTCAGAATTTGAAAGCAAGCCTACAGTTTTTTTCTATACTAGTTTAGGAAGCTTCGTTCATTAAATAGTGAATCATTTTAAGAAATAGTGTGTTCTGGGGAGATGGTTTAGTCAGTGAAGCACTGGCTGTGCAAGCATGAGGGTCTCAGCTTCGATCCCCAGCATCCATGTCACTTCTGTAACCCCAGCACTGGGGAGACAGATGGGAGGACCCTAGAGCTTTCTAGACAACTAGTCTGTTTTAACTGGTGAGCACCAGATTCAATGGGAGACTCTGTTTCAAAATAAGGTGGAATGTGATTAAGGAAAACACCTGACATTAACCTATGGCACCCACACACATACGAATATGTATACACACGTGTATATAGCACAAATAGACAAAAAGAGATAGTAATTCATGAGTTAATTGTTTTTAGGACATAAATCTTCAAATTTTATTTTATTTAGAGGAACTGCCTACGCAATTATTAGCATCTTCTGAATGCTTCCTTCAAAGGAGAATTTCTACATTTTATAGGGCTCACATATATATATTATAGATAACATAGGTGCATGTGTAAAATCTGGTGATATGAGACAGGGTTGGCAAAGACAGATTGTAGTGTGCAGATAATGCTCAAAATTTATTTCCCTCATGAGCTATAAAGCTATAGTTTTTATGAAGTTACCTGATTATTTTATACCATTTATCTTCAACTCAAGATATCAAAGAAAAATAAAATGCCTTCCACATGTATTTTACTAAGACGTGCAAATGTAGTCTGCTAAATTTTTAACATGAATGATGGTTTGTAGCAGAACTGTTACTACAATGTTTTGCTTTCAGTAGTTACCATGTGTATTTTACCATCACTTTTATTCTGTGCACAAATTGTGTTTTCTCTTTCCAGGCATGTTTACATACCACAAGGATTCACACTGCCATTGGTTTAGCAGCTTTAAATGTGATAACTATTCTGAATTCCGATTGGTTGGAATTGTATCCTTTAAACTGTCCACTAGGAGGTGCTACTGAACTAGGGATTTGTTTTAAGTTTTTTTTAATCTGTATTTTAGAAAAATGTTGTTTTAGAAAATTAAACATTATCAAATTTATTAATTAGATTCTCTAATTTGTATAATATGTAATATCACATCTCCATAATCATAGCTTCAATATATTAAAGAACTGGCTGAATTTCAGATTTTTCTCCCTTATCTCAAAATGATTACTTAAATATCAAAATTATTAAAAATCTAAAACATTTTAAAAATAAAATGGAGTATTTTCCATTTGTAATAAAGTATCTTCTGTTCTTGTTTTGTGGTCAGTTTACTCAGCTTACTAAATTGAAATTGCAAGAATTAAATATAGATCTTTTAATGTACTCTGAAATCCTGACACATGAAGAAGGTAACCCTAAGAAGTTAAAAAGTAAATGCAATGAAAAATATTTAAAACATACATAATTGTTTAAATTAATTAAATTTTTAATGTTATGGATCCATTTACCATCCTCTCACCTCTATCTCAGGTGTATTGTGTAATTTATCCCTACATTGGGAGGGTTAAAGAGATGTTAGATATTAGACAAGATGCCTTGTACATTAACTTTTTAAATTACATGAAATATAATTGTCTGGAAAATGAAGAAGAGGAAGTAGATGAGCAAGTGCAGAAGATGTGTTAGCTAAAAGAGAAAACGTTCCAACTTTGGGAAGCTTCGCATTTAAGTGCAATTTCGCTCGTTTATTCTCTGTTAGAGAGCCATGCAGCGTGATATTAATAAGTACTAAAGGGGTGTGTGACTTCATTAAAACCAAAATTAGTATAAAAATAAGGGGAGTGGGGTCTTAAGGTAGAGGTAGGAATTGAAGCGGGAGAGTGATGAGAGGAATGAAAGGCTAAGGTGTTGTGGACCCGCTACAAAGCAGCAGCCACCCTGGACCGAGGGGAAATACTGAGCACCCACCCACAGCGGCCTGCGCTGCGTCTATTGTGATTACACCCTGAGGATGCATTTGAAGTTGAAAGAGTAAATGAAACAAAAAGCAGCAGGAAACAAAACTACACATTGAGATAGGCAAGTTAATTTGAAATGTTTTATAGATTGTCATGGCCAACGTCCAAAGCAACAGATTCCACAATATCCAAGAATGCCAACAATGCATGGACTACTGTTTTCTGTTGTTTACAGTTCTCACTTGAGTGTGTCCCACTAATCTGGTACTGTTGACTAATGACCGATTTGAACTTCTTGATGCATGTGGTTAGCATGCTTTGAAGGTCTTACGTCATAGCTCAGAGTTGTATAAGTCAGCTATCACTTTTGAAATAGTGCTATTCATAAAATCATGAATTGCAGTCGTCTCCTATCACGATATTGGTAGTTTTTACTCGATTGCTACCCAAAAGATCACAGTAAGCATATCTCTATGTATACATCTCATGCCAAACAAGGCGCCTACAATTATACTCACACAATTATTTAGTATTTGATTACAGTTATTTTAAAATATGGTAAAGTCTTAGTGTTTACAAGAAATAGAGCAATAAAACAAAATAATGATGGTAAAATATTGTAGAGATTATATCAAGAACATTAATACAGTGACATTTTAAAAGTAGAATTGCCTATACCAACAAGGATATTGAACACAGTAGAGAAGTGTGCACATGCAGGTTTCAGAGTGTGCACAGTGCAGAGCACTCAGTGACACAACAGTGAAGTTACCACACCCGTTCCCCAGAATAGGCTGATTTAGTGTGGAGTATTTCTGTATGTGAGAGGGCTCCATAGCAAAGCCTGTTAATCTGCTTCCTCACTGTGCATTAGGTTTTAGGAATCTAGCATTTAAATTTTTTAAATGAAAAATGATCAGAAGTTATCAGCACAGTAGAATCTTAGAAAATTATAAATTATGATACTGTGGTAGTATTATTATTACCATCATTGCTACTATCCTGATTATGTAAGTACATCTGAACATATTTTCATTATCTTCTTCTCCCACACACTAGTCTGCCTATGTGGTTACTCGAGAAACAGTGTAGCTATTTCTTATGTTGCCAGCCCTCATTTTACCTTTGCAAACTGAATTTAGGGGTGTTTACAGAAATTTGCTAGGCCTATGTGTGTAGGTTTCTTTTTGAATCTATAAAATGAATTACTTTTTAAGTAACTTTAATATGATAACTGACCATTTACATACTATGAAATTTGATTTAAACCCCCTTTGCAGCAAATGGATGTTATCTTCTGCTGTATAAATAGGATATTTCAGCTAGTCCTTCAAGTTTTATATATGAGTCTACTCACACTATTTCATTAACAGTATTTGTACATTCATATGCTTGTTCATTCCAGCTCCTTTAACACGGTTTTATTTAAGCGTTGAATAGCTAAATATGGCAACTTCTAAAATCAGTGATGTATTCTGCAGTGAATAAAAATCTGGGTGCTGCTTATAAAACCACCAACATGCTTGCTTAAATTTAGCAATTTTTATATAATTATATAATTTATAGGAATGCCTGAAATCATTAAATCCTATTAAATTAACATGTTTCCCATGACTTTTGCTAATCAAGAATTATAGTATGTAAATAAAGGGAAATTCAAGAAAGAAGAAAGGTATGTTGGACTAAGAAAGTCAGTGTTAGATCTGAAGAAAGTGTGAGAAGTGCTGCATAATTCAAAACTCATTTGTTGTCATGGATTTTATGTTAATACTTAACATTTAGTATGCATAGCTCATGGGACTAGCTGTTTATAACAGCATCACCTTGGATATTCGTTTTCCTCCCTGCTGTTACAAGAAATTACTGAGCCCTCCCACCGTACCTAGTGATCAAAATACACCAGTAGGCATCTGCAGTGTTACCATTGATGACTTGTGTCAGATTATGCCTGTAAGTATGTTACTGACGTCTTGTAGTCATGTAATGATAAATGCCTCTTTATACAGTCTTCAATGCTATTCTTACTTTAAAATAGCCTTCCCTTTTAGACCTCTTTTCCATCTTGCTTTCAGCCCACTCCCCCAACACACACATATCCTTACAGAGATAGCCACCTATTTTCCAATGTACTTAAGCTCTTACAGATCAGATTTCAAGTCTGATGAGCATAGATTTGAATCCAGACCATGCCACCTATTGGCTCTGTGAACTTGGGTGAGTTATTTAACCTCTCTGAGCACTAATGTCCTTATGGGAATAATAGGATGTTTTTTATTAATAATTAAGAACAAGTCCCCTGTTCATTCCTGGTGCCCATATCAACTACTTGTAATACCAGTTCTGGGGAAATCCAACACCTCTGGCCTCTGCAGACACCAGCACACATGTACACATACTCATACACAAACTTCCACAAATACACATAATTTTAAATAAATCTTTTTAATGGTGACAGAAATATCAAATCTCTACTGACCTAGATTTGTATAAAAATATGTACTTTCAAAAATAAAAATCTGGCAATTTTATTTTCACATTTCACAGTACAAGTGAAAAATACATTTTTTATCCCACTTCTCCCATCCAAGACTGTCTGTCCTCTCTGCTAGTAATAGGGAGACATATCCCTTGTTGTGTCACTAGAAACCATTCAGATGCAGCACCATGATCTTCTGGCAAAACAAGTAACACAAAACTGATAAAGAGCCCCTCTGTTGTTATCTGTCCAGTCAAGTCATGCCAGGATGAGTAGGCACCATCATGGGGCAAGCAGACAGTCTAGTCATTGGAGACTCAGGTATCATGGGCATGTGACCTTCCGTGTGTGAGTGGCCTCATTCCAAAAACAGGTCCCATACACATCATCCCAGGAGAAGAGTCTATCACTGGCATCATGGGAGGACCTCCCATGTGGACTGTGGGCATCATACCAAATGAGGAGGATCCAGAAGACTGGGTAGAATTAGGATCATTTCCCCTGCAGGAAGAGGAGCAGAGTATGGAGCGAGAGGCATCATTCCTTACCAAAATGCAGCCATTATTTTGTCAGTCGGGTTTGGGCCTGCTTTTCCATCCATTTCTGATGGTAGACTTTCATGTTCTCTTTGTGTTTCCTAGCATTGCAGTGTGTAGTCATGGGTAATATACATATTACCGTAGTCATGATAAAATCACCGCCACCCTGTCAAATCTCAGGCCCTCACTCCTGCGCTTTTAATGAAATAGAAATTTATTATGTAAAGTATGTAAGATTATTGCAACCCATGACATTATTTATTTTTTCAAAGAATTTCATATAAATTAATAATAATTTTTCAGCTTGAAAAAAATGAAACATTAAGCCCTTACTATATGTGACCTGTATGTCTAATGTTTAAACAATGCATGCTAAAATAGCAGCACATTTTTAAGAATATTTATGTATAAGTTGAAAGTGAGAACTACTACAAATCCACAAACAGTTGTGTGGCAGAGAGCCAGGAATTACACTGGAAATCATAGTAGAGCTCAACACCTGTTTGCTTAAGAATGGGCCATTGGGTTAGCTCTCCAGTATGAACTAGATAATTCCCTCCTGCATGAACTTCAGTTTTCCCCAGCTGTGAATGGTGGAAATCATTAACAAGTATCATACCGCAAATGTTTCTTTTAAAGTGTGAGTTTACCATAGTCTTAGACTCACAGTAAGGGGCTCACAGTCTGTCTCCTTACAATCTGAAGGAACGCCGGTTGACTGTAAAAGACAGGTCACAGATTTGTTTTTACAGGAATTGGCCCATGGATTAAAGGAACTCTTATCCTACGAAGGCAATGTTGAAGAAGATTTCTATTCAACATTCCAGGTACTGATGAGAGCATACGCTTTTTGTCAGCTGTGCATCCAATATGAAAATGCTGTTACAAACACTTGCTGTTGGATGAACAAGGACGACTGAACACATAGAATCTTAAGACAAAGATTTTAAGTCTCATGTAGCAGTGCAGCAGGGGTCCTGGCACTCAGGAAACTGAGGCAGAACTGGGATTTTGAGGACAGCCTGGGCTACACAGAAAGGCCCTATTTCAGTTCATTTTAAAAGGATCAAAGCTAGTAATGTAATAGAGACAGTCCAGCAGACACGTACAGATAAGCATGCGGAAATGCATCCAGCAAGGGCTTGGCACTCTGCTAGTCAGTTGCATATTCCTTTTTACTAAAGTTAGCCTACTGAATCACCCCAACACAGGAAGTTTAGGCAAAGCTAATAAGTCAGACCAAAACACTCATTTCCACCTCTCTTACTTGCCATACAAGTTTTGTGAGCTTCTTTAAAGGAGTTAACTGTATTTAACAGGAAGAATTAAGAACCTGCTTTTTTCACCTCAGAATGACACCTCTGAGTCATATAGTTTAGGCTTTTGGCAGTTGCGTGTCTAAAGGGAGGGACAGGACTGTTGTACAGATCTACTCACTGAAGTCCAGTGTTCCACCATCAGTACCAATAAACATATCATGGTATCGCCCATCAGGTTTTTCAAGAAGAATTTGGAATAATTAAGTCCTATAACTTAAAGCCAGGGGGTGATAAGATTCCAGTTACCAATCAGAATAGAAGAGGTAAGTTAGATGCCATTTTTAATTGCAGAGAATTAGCACTTTTCATTTACTATGACTATGTAACAATGTGAAATTGCTTTCCAGAATATGTACAGCTTTATACAGACTTCCTTTTGAACAAATCTATCTATAAGCAATTTGCTGCATTTTATTGTGGATTCCATAGTGTGTGTGCTTCAAATGCCCTAATGGTGAGTTTAAAGTCTTAAATCTTCAATTAGGTTTTGTGATGGTATAGCAGATAATTCCTTAAATATCTTGGTAAATGAGCTTTTAAAAGTAGAAAATGTTTTCTACTTTTAAAAAATAGAGTTAGAAGTAACAGTAGTGCTCCTGTTTCAGCCTTTCTCCGCTAGAGAGAGAAAAACGTGACTTCAGATCTTTCTTCCTTCTGCTATGCCTTAAATTAGAACTTTAAAAGCTGTAAGTGGATGTTAAGACTCAGGAACAAAGCACAAAAGGAGAGTAAATGCCTAGCTCCAGGGAAAAGGACACTTGTCACTGAGCAAGGAGGATGTTCCGTGCCTACTCCAGAGTCTATCAGCAGCCTTGGGTCTGTAGTTCATCTGCAGAAGCATGGTGGACTCATGATGGTAACTGGACTTAGACTTCCATATTGTAAATATCAATGACTCCTTCACCTCATACACCCAGCGTGTGCCGTCATTCCTCTCGTGTGTCCCTTCTGCTTTATTAGGAGAGATTGGAATAGCTTTTCATTTCGGTTGTTTTAAAGAAGAAAGGAATGGACTATCAAGGTTACTTTGTGGGCAGGGGCAAGTACCTTAGCTCTTTACAGTTTGTTTTAGAGCAGTGATTCTCAACTTGTGGATTGCAAGCCCTTTAGGGGTCCAAGGACCCTTTTACAGGGGTCACATATCAGATATCCTTCATATTAGATATCTACATTACAATTCATAGCAGTAGCAAAATTGCAGTTATGAAGTAGTAACAAAATGGTTTTATGGTTGAGGGTCACCACAATATGAAGAGCTGTATTAAAGGTTCGCAGCATTAGAAAGTTTGAGACCACTGTTTTAGAGTAATCTCTGAAGTGTTAATCTAATTAATCTTTAACAACCAAAAATTGGGAGTCAAATATCAGGGTAAGAATCTGAAAGATCAGAGAAGCAGGAAGCAGCTACCTGCCTCTACCATTCCTCCATCCAAAAGGGCCAAGATCCTCTCTCAACCCTGCCTGACGACCTTCCTGTCTCCTCTCTGTCTACAGTCCTCCAAACCTCTGTGGTCAGCTAGTGGCTAGCTCCACTCTCTGACTCCAAGCAAGCTTTACTATTCAGAACGCAATCAAAATATCACACAAGAAATCTTTGCAACACATTTGCTGAAAGTACCTTTGAAACAGAAGCACCATTGAGTTAAAACTAAGTTTTATGACTCTCTGGTAGTGGGAAGACAGAGAAAGGGAAAATAAAAATTAAATGGCATAGGATTCTCTATTTCTCAGATCTAATCTCCAGGTTAGAACAAACTCACCTGGATGGTGGAAAGCCGTGAGCGATGCAGAGCAGAGTAAATGCAGCTCTGCAGTCAGTGCACAGGGTGCTGCAGAGCTGGGAGGGCAGGCAGGTCAGTGCACAGCGGTACTGCGCCGAGGGCGGAGAAGGCTGAGTTTGCTTCATGCAGAGCTGTCTTGGTTTTCTGAAACTACTAATTACTGTTTTATAAGATACAAACCTTTTGAAACATAATACCTTGCTGTAGTTGGAAAATATAAATGAAAGGCATCTTCTTCAACAAAAATCATTTGATTTACTAAAAAAGTCATGGTTTCTGATTTGATTCTTTGATTAAAATAGTTCAAATTTCATTTAATACCATCATTTTTAAATTATGACTTTTATGGTTATTGACAGCTACTTCGTCCAGAAGAGGTTGAGATTCTGGTGTGTGGCAGCCCTGAGCTGGATATGCATGCTCTGCAGAGGAGCACTCAGTACGACGGCTATGCGAAGACCGACCTGACCATACGGTGAGCTCTCCGTCTCCAGACACTTGTCCGTGGAGGACAGGATAGGATGTGCTTGCTTGTTTGTTAAATTTAGAATTCCTCAATCACTTGTTAAATATTCTGCAGTCCACCCTGTCTTAGTTCATTTCCAAAAATAAGCAAGTACTAAAATGTGAATGCGTTAACAACCCCCTTGGGAGGAAATTATATAACTTTCTATCAAAGTATACAAGGTTTTTAAATATGCTAAATTCTAAATAGAATTTTACTGGCACTGTGTCGAAAAATAAGGATTTCTGATTATATAGAGAACAAAAAATGAGCTCTGTGCTAACCATTGTTAGACTAGTTAAATAATGTTATCAAATGTTACTTTGTATGATTCCCAAAGTGTGTGTGTGTGTGTGTGTTAGAGGAAGTTTCCCAGAGCTTACTTTATTAGAATCTCTAATTAATTAGGATAATATCATTGTATAAATTTTCTTCTGTAGATACTTTTGGGATGTTGTACTTGGATTTCCTCTTGATCTTCAGAAGAAGTTGCTACATTTTACTACAGGAAGTGACAGAGTACCTGTGGGAGGGATGGCTGATTTGAACTTTAAAATTTCAAAGAATGAAACTTCTACTAACTGGTAAACTCTGGATTATAACTTTATTTTTAATGTATAACTTATTACTAATTTTGGAATCAAAAGAGTCTTTTAATCATTTCCATGTAAAATACTGCAGTGTCAATGTGACCTTGAAGTGGAAGAGGCTGTGGTTGAAAGTTCCCTGAAGTGTTGACACAGCCCAGTACTAATGACCATTCCCTTCCATCTGCTTCTTGCATGCCTGGGCCAAGTACTGATGTGTGGTCTTTTAGAACTTAGCCTGTCTTATAGTAGTCTTAGAGTCTAACCCTCATTGTGGTATAAGTGATCTTTATAATTGGGAAATATATGAAGTTGAGGCTCTTAGAAAGGGTAGTGCTTTAACTTCTGGTGCTCACCGTCCTCTAAATCTCATGCTCCTCACATATGAAGTGATAAAGACCATGACTATAAACAGTTTCCTAACAGTTCCTTACTCCTAGTGCAGTATTCTGTGGTTTCAGAAAGTACTTCAACTAGACACAACTTAGCTTATAATCACCCTTGCCCTGCAGCTCACACACTGAATGTTTCTCAAATCCTGACTCAGTCCTGTCAGTTTAGAACTTGAATTGGTCCTATGCTTGCCAGTAGCCACCACCCTGGATCTGTCCCTTTTCTCCTCATTCCTAGCTGAGTTAAGGCCTCCTTCCTGCCCAGGTTCCCACACAACTCTTTCTCTGTGCCACTGCTGTGGCCCTGACACCCTGGGCATTAGTAACTTTACTGTAACGTTATCTCATCAGTTCTAGTCCTAGAGCCCATCATTTCTGCTTACAGCCACAGTTTTGCATCATCCTTAAAACACTTTGCCTGCCTCCCTCCATTCCTTTGGTTTGTTCCCTTTGCATGTGATCCGTGCTTGCTAGCACTCATGGAGATCCTTTCTAATGTTGTCTTCTCCTGGGACACTAAAAAGTCATCATTCAATACATTCCTTTTTCATGGTTCACCTTAGACTGCAGCCATTTATTTAGCTCTTAAAGGCAGAGGATAGGCCCTGTGTACCTTATTCTCCATTAGGCACACGTGTAGTAAAAATGGTTATTGAATGAATATTTAAAACTATGTCTAATGAAAATTATACCTGGGGGCTCAGAATATGGCTCTGTGGTTAAGCACAAACATCTGAGTTCAGATTCCTAGCCAACCAAATAACAAGCCGTGTGTGGCACATTAGCTTATACCCCTGAGCTGGAGGAAGACTCGGGGACACATGAGGATCACCGGGGTTTGCCTAAAGCAAGCCTAACTAAGAAAAGACAAGTTATAGGTTCAGTCAGACACCCTGTCTCAATGCAATAAAGGGAAAGAGAGAGAGAAAAGAGACTCACTATCCTCCTCTGGCCTCCATGTGTGCATATGAGTGTGTGCACTGGCACACATATACATGAGCATAATCTCCACACACAAAAATAAATAGAAAAAAGGATTATATTTTAAAGCATAAATGAAGAATATTTACAATTAAAAAAATTCTATATGAGTCATAATTAAAAGATCTAAAATGAGAAACCTATCTTATTTTAATACAAAGGCAAAATATAAATGTCTCCCTTTTTTATTTTTTAGTTTTTTGAGACAGGGTTTCTCTGTAGCTTTAGAGCCTGTCCTGGAACTAGCTCTTGTAGACCAGGCTGACCTCGAACTCACAGAGATCTGCCTGCCTCTGCCTCCCAAGTGCTGGGATTAAAGGCGTGCGCCATCACCACCCAGCCATCTCCAATTATTTTTACTTCGGAGGTGATTTTAGGAGCTAACATGGCTTAGTTCTGACTCTGGATTCTCAGCAGGAACCTCACATTGATAAAATACAATTAACTGTGAAAGATGTGTGACATTTCCATCCAGTGCAGTGACATTGTTTCTCAAAGGCAAGGGCAGTGATCCATCCGAACTAAGAACTTTCATCCCTTCCATAAGGCACACTGTTGAAGATTGATGAGTTGATGTTGATGTGAATGGCAAAGGTTTACTTTTTAGCGGAAAAAAAAAAAAAAAACACTGGTTTTGGAGTCAGACTAGACTGGGTTTGAAACTCAAGCTTACACCTCTGCAGCTTTGAACCTTTGATCTGTATATTCCCAGGTCTAAGTTTCCTCATGCATACACTGGGGATAGCAACCATGTTAGGTTGCTTTAGTAGGATCTTACATGAAGCAGTGCATGTCAGACATGTGCTCCAGTGCTGATCGTACTTGAGAGGCTCCATAAACCATGACTGACTGACCTACTGTTTGTTGTGTGGTCTTGCAGTATCAATTTTGATCACAGAAATTCTTTTTCAGTGCTCTTTGATTTATTCCAATTTTCACATACTGACTTTGCTGAAAGCTCTTGTGATGCTGCAGGATCCATAGAAACCAAAGAGAAGGATCTGAGAGTCCTTCGGAAGCTTGGACAAGATAGCATTGTCGTCAGGTAGACTGCTGCAGGAGCTGATCAGGAGTTCAGGGGCCGCCTGCTCCATGTGCAGAGGACAGCAGCTGTGAAGGAGCCCAAAGTGACTTCTTGTGACTTCCTGACAGTCAAGACTGAGCCATAGCCATCAACTGTCTACTACTTCGCCAGGTGTTTTGCATAGATCACAGTCTTAGTCTTTTAATGTACGTGCATAGTTTACCGTATTGATGAGGAAACAGATTTGGAGACCGTAAGCAATTTGCTCAAAGTCCCACAGCTGGTAAGTGAGGAAAACAGTATTTAAATTCAGATCTGTCTGACTCCAAACAAAATGCTTTTCAGATTAGAGTTTAATGAAGGCAACTGATTGTCCTGTCTGTAGACATGTTCCTGCTGTCCAGAAGGGCACTTGGTACTTAGGTATTCAATAGTATTTGTCCAGTAAAGAAGAGATGAGGCATCTCAGAACAGTAAAAAAGATTGGAATAGATGCAGTTTTTTGACGTTTCTTACTCATTTTGTGTATTTTTTACGACAGTATCCTTTATAAACTTACTTTTCCCTAGGTTACCTGTGGCGCACACTTGCTTCAATCAACTCTGCCTTCCCCCATACAAGAGCAAAAAAGATCTGAAACAGAAGCTGATCATTGGAATCTCAAACTCAGAAGGTTTTGGACTTGAGTAACCTAGAAGACTTGAAATACAGTATTTTATATGTAGCATTCACTTCCCTCTTCTCGTGCCTTTAACATTTTCATGTTTCTGTTTCAAAACACTTTCACAAAGCTCACCACTTTTAAAATATGAGGGTTTTTTTTTACTCAAATACAAAATATGTGTAGTGAAGGCATGATTTAAAAAAAACAGAAATTTATTAATAGGTAAGGAAAGCATATGGGAGAAACAGGCCTGGGTCCAGTGCTCATTTTTATAGCATTTTGTTGTTTTCCATACATAGTTAGTCACAGGTGTCCACTGGGAAAGCCACGTGCAGTCGAGAGGGCATTAGGACGTGATGGAGCCCAGTGCAGTCGAGAGGGCATTAGGACGTGATGGAGCCCAGTGCAGTCGAGAGGGCATTAGGACGTGATGGAGCCCAGTGCAGTCGAGAGGGCATTAGGACGTGATGGAGCCCAGTGGCAGGTGTGTGCTGTCAGCACTGCAGCAAAGCAGATAGCTAGCTACATTGTCTTTACCATAAAGCATGTAGCCATATTTTCATACAAAGGTAAACAAGAGTATAATTGCAAACGCAGTTTACAGGGTCTTTTGATACATTGGTTTGGGGTCCTATAACGTCTTTTCAGTGCTGCTGAAAAGCATGTAAATAACTACATACAGCCTAGGAATCACAGGATTTTGATAGTGCCATTTATTGCTAAAGATTTATTTTTACAAAGTAAATTTAGGGTTTTAGATGTGTATACAGCTTTTACAAATCAATAAAGATGATTGTACAAGAGTATTTTCAGACCAATTGGACTCAAGGTTATATTCTTTTAAGTATTGTTAGTCCGCATGCTCACTGGCAGTAAATCGGTTACTTGAGTATTCCATAATGTTTGTATAATGGTCATTTCTTCTTAAAAATCAAACTAGAGTTAATTAGACCGAACTAATCATTGACTACTTAAATTAATTACAAGCACAAAAAACTGCCATTTTATATATTTTGATGTACTCCTTACCTACATTTTTGATCACCAGTTATATGGAAATTCTAAATTTTGGAAAATGTAGGATAAGGTATTTGACAAAAGTGAAATATAATAAAACATTTATGTCAAAATGATCTAGGTTGGTATAAAAGAGAAGTTTGACATTTTGGCTAAAATGTTTGTTTTTCACTGGATTCTAAGTATAGTAAATACTATACTTTACTAAATATAGTAAATACTTCGAAAGTACCCTTGTTTTCTATTTCTAATACAAGTAGCATGTAAAAATTGCATTTTTAAGTCCCAGAACTTTTTTCAATTTATAGCAAATGAAGCAGTTTTATTAGCATGTTACGAACATGTCCATCTCAATACTTCTCTCGTTCTTTGATAGCTTTTCTTCAGAAAACTATTGCAATAAGAATGAAACCAGCATTTAGTACCAGTGTATGCTCCACATGCAACAGCATGCGGCCCAAACCTTCTCTGAACGAGGCACTTCCTTGTTGCTATGCTTCCAGCACCCAACCAGCAGAATTCAAGGGTGCAGGAACTCATCAGCCCGCCCACAGTTCTGAAACCCGCCCATTCCCGCCTTCTTCCCTGGACTGCTTGAGCCTGCAAATTACTCTCTTCCATTGGAGTATACTAAACAAATATTTCTTCTTCAAAGTCTCAGACAGCCTGAGACAGCTAAAGGCACATTTGGTTTGGTTCATACATGTTTTCAATTCATATGCAAATAAAACTGCTTCTCTCTTGCACTGCTTGAACTAGAAAGTATGATGTTTAATGTAGGTCACTACTAACAAGCACAAAGAATCATGTATACAAAACCAGATTTAAGTGTTTTAGGTAAAATGTAAACAAAGTTTTTATTTGTTAGAGATGACTCATGGACTAGTGTTGGCTTGGTCTGCATGTCTAACGATGTGTGTGTATCGATAGCTCTGTCACTTTTAGTAAGTGCACACACAAGCCAAATTTAAGGGACAAAGTCCATAAATATTGGGGATTTTTGTTGTCTTTTATTAAATTGATATTTATAACCATGAATTACTTAGTCATATATTTATGCTCTCTTTTGGTTTACAATGTAATAATACCTCATTTCAAAAGTAAGAACCACTACTGTTACATTTTAATTTAATCAGCTAGAAAATTCATGTAGCTTTTTAAATATACAACCTGTTAATGGTTTCTTGAGTTTTGTATCTGCCATAGTAAATTAAAGCATTGCAAAGTATTTATTAGTATTTATAAAATGTCTTGTCCTTTTTTAAAAAACCTATTTATTTTTCTCTGTATGTTAAGTTTTTAGCAGTCCTTTTTTGTAAATCTGTATTGTATTGAGTTCATTTGTGTACAAACATTTTCGAATATTAAAAATATACAGTCAGTCAGGCTTCAGTTCATTTTTTAAATACCAGATAATTAGTTAAAACAATAGATTTAAAATATAAATTATACTGCTCTTTACTAGATATTATGATTAGGAAAATTGCTAAAACATAGTTTCAAAGACTACTTAGTTAACAAGCAGTATAGTCAACTGCCTTAGCTTATTCTTAGTATGAAACTGCACACTCACTGTCTGAATGGTCACATAGATGTCTTACCAAGTGAATAAGTAGTAGTAGTGGAGTAAACTCAGAAGTGAACATCCAAGGACATCTTACTGGCTGTAGATGGGCAACTGTTGTCTTCAGTGTTCTTCCTTAGAACCATTTCTTTGTCCTTTCCTCTCCTGCCATATTGCCTAAGCTTCAGAAAGAGAAGAGCTAGTGAAACTGAGGAGAAAACTCTGTGGCTACTTCTAACATTGAGGAGTTTGCATCCTTGGAAATAATCTTTAGGAGTTATTTGCTGGGATGTGGGGAGAGTGAGACACAGAATGAGCACACATGTAGAAGCAGACATCCATGTCAGGTGCCTTTGTCATGTTCCACCTTATTTTTGAGACCGAGTTGCTCTCTGAACCTGGAACTCTCCACCTCCAGTCAACTGGCTGGCTGGGAGTCTCTGATCCTCTTGTCTCCCGGTACTTGGGTTACAGGTGGACCTCCACTCTGATGTGCTGGCTGCAATCAAACTCCAGCCTTTGTTTACACAGCAAGCACTTCATCTATTGAGCCTTCTCCCCCATCCTAGTGTGGATTCTCTTAATTTACTGTGTTGCTACAGTTTGAACCTAGATCTGACAATTACCATATGACCTTTGAAGAAAGACAAAGGTGAGTTTTTTGGGAGGACATGGATCAGTCAACCCAGCTAGTCATCCATCCTCAGGACTGCAGTACTCGACTTTGGTGGTAGACAGTTTAACCTCATGTTTTACTGTGATGTCTCAATTTCAAAATAAAAACAACTTGTAAGATGGAAATATCTAATTTCTGTGCAGTTTTTAGGGAAGAAGTGGGTTCATGTGTGGACTCACAGTGCCTAGCATATGGTACATGACTAGAAAGGGTGTGATATGGTGCCAGGGTGGTCACATCCTAGCCCACAGCCTCTCAGCCATCTCACTGTCATTCCGGGGAGGGGTTGTCTCATACAATGGTATATTATTTGTGTTTTAATAAATAAAACTTGCCTGAAGATCAGAGGGCAAAGCAGCCATACAGGCCAGGGAGTGGTGGCACACACCTTTAATCCCAGTACTTGGGAGACAGAGGCAGATGGATCTCTGTGAGTTCAAGGCCACCCTGGACTACACTGAATCTGTCTAAAAAAGAAAGAGAGCTCACACAAAGGTGATCCCAGCACTTGGGATCCCATACCTTTAATCCCAACACTAGGGAGGTGGAGACAGGAATGATATGGCTGGGCAGAGAGAGGACTATAAAGGGGAAAAGATGGGAACTCAATGGAGTTTAAGGGTTTGTGGAGACAGGGACATCAGGCTACCTGGACAGTCACCCAAAGTTCTTCTGCAATGTTAGGGCTTCCAACTTTGGCCCACAGGTCTAGCATATCTGACAGACTTTCCTGTGAAGCAGGGAATTTTGAAGAAGAACTGTCCTTCCTTATCTTGGCAAAGTTTGGCAGTCACCTTTCTTGTGTCCTGCTGGTTCAGTTTGGATAGTATATTGTTAGCAATTGAGTCAAGGGCAATGTCTTTGCCCACATGGCTAGCTTTTGCCATAAAGAAACTCCATATTCTTTCTTTTTCTTTTTTGGTTTTTTTGAGACAGAGTTTCTCCTTGTAACAGCCCTTGTTATTCTGAAATTCACTCTGTAAAACAGGCTGGCTTTGAACTCAGAGATCTGCCTGCTTCTGCGTCCCAAATGCTGGGATTAAAGGCATGCACCATTACTGCCTGGCAAATTCCAGATTCTTTGCCCGTTTTCTATTCATTGGTTTTTAGGAGTTACTTCTTTATTCTAAATATTATTAATCCTTTCTTGACAGGAGTTACAGCCTCAGTTTACTCATCCGTAAATTAAAATACTTAGCCTATATAATTGCTAAATAGTTTATGAATAAATATGTAAGCATGTTTATGCATATACTATACAATATCAACATGTGTAAAGTATAAGTTCAACAAACTAGGTATTAATGTATCAAATACAGATATATAATTTAAGTATATCCTTATGGCTGATGTATTTGGGTTCTCTAAAGTAACAAACTGATAGGATGAATGTGTATTACAAAGGAGACTCATCAGATTGGCTTATACAATGTAGGCTGGATAGTCCAACGATGACTGTACTCTGGAGAGACTGATAACCCATCCATAAGGCCTGAGTCCCATTCTGGTACTGAAGACATGGAGGATTCCTCAAGAGCTGCTGGTCTTTGGTCCATATTGAATGTCCAGGAGATGGTAAGGATGGCAGCAGTGGCAGCAGCAGGGTGGATACACTCAGCAAGGAGCAAAGGTGGCTAGGTAGAAGCCCACTACTTTTTCTGTGGAGCCCTTCCATACCAGGCTGCCCACTCCTGGAGGAGGGTCTTCCCCCTTCTGTTAACTGCCCAGTAAACATCCCTGCAGGCCCACCTAGAGGGTTGTCTTTGAATTGACTTCAGCCATCATCAGCCATCAGAATGGCTTACCTTTATTTCTGACTGGTAAGTGTTCCTTAGTATTCCTAATATTGGGATTGCTGTTGTTGCTTCTGTATGAAAGACAATCTTGTGCCGAGTTTTCCATTTAATATAGGGAACTCGAAAGACTATCAGTCTGCTTTCTTTACTTGATAGTTTCTGTCTGAAGCCATCTTGTCCAGATCCTGGTGGCCTATAAAATTGGTCTTATTTTGTCTTTTCCTTTTCTTTAACCTTTGTGTCAGCAAGCTTTGCCTTTATGTTGTCTCTCCGCCTTGAATATTCATAGAACAGCCTCTCCCTTGGTTTAGATGGACATTGAACCATTCATAGCCAGCTGACTTACCTGTAGACTTACTCTACTCTTTATCCTAAAACCTCTACAGTTAACCATGGCAAAATTCTGTTTTCATTGTTTGCCTCCCCATGAAGAATCTAGGGTCTCTCTGGCTTGTTTGATTCCAGTTGCCTGTTCTGCCTCCTCAAGTGTCTTTTTGTTGTTGTTGTTGTTGTTGTTGTTGTTGTTCCTTTCTAACCAGTTTCTGTTCACTCCAACCCAATTCCAGACTGTAATTTTTCCAAACCAGAATCCCCCTGCCAACTGCTAAGCCTGACTCACCACCACAAACTAAGTGTCTAGCCAGAAGGCAAATGCTATCTTCCCTAACCATCTGCAAATCCTCATTTCTCAGGCTACATTAATGTTTCAAATGTATGTGGGTAGGTATGTGCACATCACGCTCAAGAATCATATTTGCTGTGCCC